ACAATGGTAGTCGAGAAGAGATACGTCTAGACAATAAGATGCTTTCATAACCTTCTGACTCACACATTTCTAAGTTCTCTGAATGAATAGTTAAAACAAGTAATAAATTTTTCCAACCCCTGACAGGTGCCACGCCCACCTTCAATAAATTTGTTTGAGCTTTATAGCCTACATATATACGTTACATACATGTGTAATATCATTAAAAAGAGATCATTTTACACTATAATATAACATCAGTTATTTTGAAATTGGCATGAAGTTGTCCTCACAGAATACATGTAACTGACTGTATTATTGTTGGCTGCTTGATTGACTATAGCACTTACGGTTGTTTATTACTTAAATATGTTATAGTTAGAGATACAGTTTAAATTGTACTTAGGTCTTACTATTATATTTTAATGAATTATGTATTAGTTATGTTTTTAAGTTTATAATTAAAAGGTTTAAACATTTTTTAAATATACATAATACTTTATGTCTGTTCTCAAGGCTTATAACATTAAGCACTGGACGAAAACTTTGCCAAAGGGTTGCACAGTTCCCCCAAAGAAACTGTAATATGTCTTGAGGACATTGTTGCCTTGTGCCATGATGAATAATAAGTGGTAAAGAACAAGAAAGGAAAATAAAACAATAAAAATTAACTATGTGTGAAAAATAAAAGAACTGAAATTACAAACTTAACAAATGGGAAATCTTTAAAGATATTCTACCAAAATTAAAAGGTATGTATTTTTTTCTATTTCCTAATTTTAATTATCTCACTGCATTGTACATTGATGATAATAGATAGAGTTAGTGATATGGTAGAGAAAATGAAAAATAAAATATAAATATATATACCTTAAAAAAAACTTGATGTTCTTTTAGGAGGTTCTGGAGATTATGTCAATAAAATATGAAACTATAAAATGAGGAAAATTATTTTTATACTTAAAATAAAAATCATCTTGCATTCAATTTGTTAATAGCTTGAGTGCAAGAAACTACAATAGAAAATAACATATTGTTAGTAAAAACAATTATAATAATGTCATTCTTTATGTACAAGTTACTTATGATCTTTAATACTAGTTTTTGAGAAGATACATTAAGAAATCTTAGAGTTACCACATGTATTGTTATATAAGTGAAATTCGCAACTCGATTTCCACACATTGAATGAGCCCGAGGCAAAAGGGTTAAACAGCTTTTCAAACTCTGAGATGTTTCCAAGCCCTAATAACTTAAGAAACAAGCAAGGTTAACTTTTCAAACACTGAGATGTGTTTCCAAGCCCTAATAACTTGAGAAACAAGCAAAGTTAACTTTTCAAACACTGAGATGCATTCCCAAGCCCTAATAACTTGAGAAACAAGCAAAGTTAACTTTTCAAACACTGACATTTGTTTATAAGTTCTGATCTTTTTGTACAGTAATACTAAAAAACTTTCACCTCAAGATTTACCTCATAGAATTCCTTATTAATAAAGAAAACCTTACCCTGAGCCCAATGTCATCTGGACACTGTCCACTAGCACCTTCTGACCCATTGGGAAGTTCTTAACTAAATAGCAGAGCTTATAATCTGGCAGACTGTAGATCTGTTTTTAAATAGAATACATAAAGAAATACAATTTACAGTTGCAAATAAAATACAAATAGTGGAAATTATATAAATTGGTTTTCTAATCTTATAATTCATCATAAAACTATGCATTCTAAAGTCTTCAAAATTTACTACACACTACATGCATCACAGGAAACATTAATAAAAAAAATTACACACTTAATTCAATGCTTCACTAACACAAACCAATTTGCTCTCATAATAGGTAAACAAATTTTTAACCAATTTAACAACCATAAACAAGACATTTTTAATAAACAAGCAGATCCAAAAAAATTCTCCATAAAACGAAGCAAACCTAATCACTGGCACTTTCAATAAATATCAAAAATTAGCATATCTCTAACAGAAAATTGAAAAATAATAGCACATAAATGTAATCTTAATATAACAACCAGATTAATTTTATCTGATAGAAAAATAAAATAATACAATGAGCCCACCCTTCCAGGAAACAACCCAAGTAATCAAAATATTGTTATTATGTTTGTTTGTGGTTAAGCATAAGGCTATATAAAGGGCTATCTGTGTTCTGCCCAATTATTTTGTTACTTCAAGTTTTTTCAGTTTTGGTGATTCAGGAAGAAGGTTGTGATTCAAGATTCAATTCCCATTGCCACCAAAACTTACTTGCCCTAAGCTACTAAGGCTATCTGCCACTGATGATAATTTTGAGCTGCTGTATACAGGGAAAGCAACTGTCTAGTAGAACCCACCATCAACTTTATTTTCCTCTTATTAAACCTCTGATCAGAGGAAATTCAACTGCCTGGCAGCACCTGCTGCTCACTTGTTTTTCTTCTTGAACTGAAAGAGAAGGCAAATACCTGGCTGTACTCAACACCAACTTGTTTTTCTTCTTGAACTGAAAGAGAAGGCAACTACCTGGCTGTACTCAACACCAACTTGTTTTTCTTCTTGAACTGCTAGCTAGAGAGAGAAGGCAACTACCTGGCTGTACTCAACACCAACTTGTTTTTCTTCTTGAACTGCTATCTAGAGAGAGAAGGAAACTACTTGGCTCCATTCAACACCAACTTGTTTTTCTTTTTGAACTGCTAGCTAGACAGAGAAGGCAACTACCTGGCTCCATTCAACACCAACTTGTTTTTCTTCTTCTTCTTGTTTGTTTTGTTATTAGAGCAAAGCCATATTAGGCTGTCTTCTATGTCCACCACAAGGAATTTAACCTCAGATTTTAGCATTGTAAGTCTGTAGAATTATCACTGTCCCATCAGGGAAATTTTCTTCTTCTTCTTGAACCCTGACTAGAGAAATAGCAAATGTTTGGTAGCACCCACCGTCAACTTTTTTCTTCTTCTTGAACTACTAACTAGGGGGAAGGCAATTGATTGACAGCAACTGCTGTCAACCTTTTTTTTTAACCATGATTTGAGAAATCCTGTACTAATTGATTAATTGCCTGTTGATTAATCAATTAGTAAATAACATTAATTGCCTATCTCTAACTTCTAGTACACTATTCTCTCTGACAATAGTCAAACAATGGGAAAGCTTGTAATAATTATTCTATAAACAGTTGAAATATTTAATAATATTATTTATAGTATTGTATTCTATTTTTTGTTACAACAACCAACCAATGGGAAGGCTTGTAATAATTACTCTATAAACAGTCTAAATATTTAATAGTATTACCTCTAATACTCCATTCTCCCTCACAACAAACAACCAATATGTTGGCTTTACTTCGATAACTTCAAATATCTTGGAAACACTAAAAAAAGACAAGATATTTTTAAAATTAAAATCTGAAACAAAACTAGATTATAGGTACAGAAGTGCATACTTATATTTTTGACATGTTAACACATTGCGAACCGGTCACGAGTTTACTCGTGTTTCATGCAGAGTCTTTGTGTGCCATTTATTAAAACATTGAGTTCAATAGGAGTCAGATATGTTTTATTTTCTTCCAAACAGTTATTATAATTCTGATTTTTTGCTTACAATACCCATAATTTTATAAATGGTTTCTCGCAGAAAACGTAATGTGTTAAGTGAAGATGAGATAAATACTGAACTATTTGATAATAATTTGGCAGATCTTTTAAGTGACGGTGAAGTTTCTGATGTAGATGTGTTTGTGGATAATTCTGACAATGATTCTAGCTACAGTGATGTTGTTAGACCTACAAAGATATGTAAAGTTGTTGTGCTCTAAACTAATTCTGAATCAGAGAGTGATGATGGTTCACAAATTTTCCTGTTATTGATTTGTTTTCCTATTGTGATAATGATAATTGGTCAGAAATAAATATTCCACTGAACTTGGAAATGTTTGAGTATTGATGCCGCGACAAGTCTAATGTTTGGAAATGTGTACCTACCATAATCAAACTGCAGAGAAACAAAATGTCATCTAAAGTACTTCAATGGTCTGAAGTTACACCTACAGACATGAGGAAATTCCTAGGCCTTATTCTACTAATGGCACAGATAAGGAAAAATAACTGGAAAGATTATTGGTCAACAGATCCTCTTTTGATCAGTCCAATATGTTTGCAGACAATGTGCCAAAACAGATTTGAATAAATTTGGACACTTTGGCATTTCAATGATAATGAGAAAATGGATGAGTCTTCAGGCAGGCTCTTCAAAATTTAACCAATACTGGATTATATCCTCAATAAATTCAGGACACTATACACACCAAAGCAACAGTTGTCATTGGATGAGGATATGATTCCATGGAGAGGGCATCTAAGATTCTGAACATACAACCCTGTAGAAATTGTAAAGTATGGCTTGTTGGTGAGAATGGTGTGTGAGAGTGACACAGGTTATACTTGCAACACAGAGATTTATACTGGTGAGGGAAAAAAATTGGAGAAGACTATTATTTCAGTTCTTGCTTCCAATTTTGGATTGTGGCACCACGTATACCAGGACAATTATTACAACAATACTTCCATTGCAAACCTGTTCCTAGAAAATAAAACAAGAGTCTGCAGAATAATCAGAGTGAACACAGGGTTGCTGCCAAGCCTGAAGTTTCAACAATAAAAAAAAAAGGTTTCTGTCATATGAAAAGACAAGAGAGAAGTGAGAATGGTTTCAACAATCCATGACTCTTCTGTTTCTACCACAAGAAAGAAAAATAGAATAACTGGAGAAGAAATAAAAAAACCTGTGTGTGTGTTCTCCAATACAATGCCAACATGAAAGGTGTTGATTGTGCAAATCAGTAACTTCCATGCTACTCCATTCTCAGAAAAACAGTGAAATGGGCAAAAAAGGTAGTACTTTATCTAATAAATTGCAGCCTTTTTTAATTCATATATAATCTACAAAGCCCTGAATCAACAGAAAAAATAAAATATAAGCAGTTCCTCTTCTCTGAGAGAATAGATTACTAGAAAGAAGGCTCACTGGAACTAGAGAGGAATGAACCCAGTCCATCATCTGACGGTACAACGAGAGCCCCACATAAGAATACCTTGGAAGATTGTCTGGTTACATGAAGCAGTATATTCCTGTGTTCATTTCATCAACATAAAAAAAGAGTCTGCAGAGTTTTTACTGCCCATGGGAAAAGAAGTGAAACACAATACATATGCAAGTTTTGCGTGGTTCCACTCCATATAAGAAAATGTTTTACAAGATACCACACTTTAAAAATTTACTAGGTGTCTTCATGTATATACTCTGTAAGCTTCAAATATGTAATAAAAAATAAAGTTGAGTTATGAACAAAATAAAATACATCCGACTCCCTTCAAACTCAACGTTTTAATATATGGCATACAAAGATGCTCTGCACGAAACACGAGTAAACTTGTAACCAGTCCGCAATGTGTTAAAATACTAACTGATGTCAGGCAGTAGCTGAACATTAAAATGTTATTTCAAAATATTAAATGATATTAATAAATAAAAAAAAAATTTTCTCTATATAATACCACTAACTCAGTTGTTATTTATAAAACTGATGGCACATTATATAAAACATTATGTACAAACAACAAAGAACCAAAATAGCACTAACCTATGGAGGAAAAAACAATAAATAACAGAAAATTCATACAAAATCAACCCAACATACTTCTCTAATTCTTACAGTCAGATTCTATTCAGTGATAAAATATAAATCAGTACAGTTTTTAATACGATGAAAAATTATAGAATAAACTGAGTATTAGAAGTGCTAAGTCACAGAATGATAAGGAACGTACTAAGATAATCACAACCCCAGAAATACATCTCAGTATATAAACAGATTCACCTTATAAAGAAACATTATTTCATAAAGGCAAAAACACAATTATAAACAATACTGAACCAAAGAAATAAACTGAGAAACATAAATAAAGATGCTAAAAAATAGTAGCAAACCAAAATGAACACCAGACAATGGAATCAAAGTAAACTTGAAAAAGATAGTAATAAACAAAAGTGATCCCAAACAAAATTTACATAGGCAAATAACACTGAATACCAAAAAGGTAAAGACAATTATAAGTAAAAACGAGAAAGATATTAACAAGCATAATTAAATACAAGATGCTGAGAAAAAAAAGTAAAGATAATGATAAACAAAAGTTAGCATTTGATAATGACTAAAAAAATTGTGCTGTGCCCAATATGGGTATCAAAATTCAGTTTCTAGCATTATAAACCTTCAGACAGCCACTGGGAGAAAAGAAAACTAATGCAAGAAATATAAGTAAAGTGTGAATGCAAGATAATGACAAACAACAGTGCATAAAAACATAATGACAAAAAAGTGAAAACAACAAAGATAATGACAAACAACAGTGCATAAAAACATAATGACAAAAAAGTGAAAACAACAAAGATAATGAAAAAAAAGTGAAAACAACAAAGATAATGACAAAAAAGTGAAAACAACAAATATAATGACAAAAAGTGAAAACAACAAATATAATGACAAAAATTGAAAACAACAAATATAATAATAAACAAAAAAAGCAAGAGAAAGATAATGAATGCAAAACCTAAATATAAACAAAAAACTTGTGAAAGATAACAGAAAACAAAAATCGCGACAAAATAATGATGAAAAGTAAACACAAAAGATGATGATAGATGAAAGTAAAAACAAGAAAGATTATAACAAACATAAGCAATAAGTAAACAGTAAAAGATATTCATAGACAAAGGTGAATAAAATAAAAATACCTACCTGGGGGATTTCACAGAAGGAAGTGGAAATGCTGAATCAAGATCTCCATCTTTATTGGTAGAATCTCCATACAATAGTTCATCTTCATCATCCACTCCACTGGTCATGAAAACAGTAATATCATATTATACTACACGATATATCAGACAACAAAATAAACTTGTAAATAGTGCAGAATACAGAGAAAAAGAAATACTGAATTCTTCTGATTGGCTTCACATGTGGCAATCACTGAACACTTCCAACCACCCTTGGTTACTGGTAATCTTCAGCTCTATTACTTGTCTCAAAGTATCGAAACATACCTTTGAATACTCGACCAGTTCTCAGATTTTCTAGTAATGTCTTTCTTGTTTTTTTATATATATATTAGCTGTGTACCCGTCCTTCGTCTGGGTTGTGTGTATAAATAATACATTAATTTAACAATTAACAAATAAATTACTTGTACATTATTTACATTACAGTTTACATTTTTTATTGTACATTATTATAACAATTAAATATAATATAACAAAAGATACTGCGAACCATGTGTTAACTGAGTCACTTAAAAAAATCGGAAAATGTCAAATTGTGATGAGTTGTACTTGCGTGTTTGTAGTGCATCACACATCTGTGAAAAAATTTGTTTTATTTACCGAAGAGCCTCTTGATAGACGACATTGGAAGTACGTCCACCTGGGGCATGGATAAATAGGCTGCGAGAAGATCTGACTCTTCAGCAGGCTACATATAGTTTTTAAACTCCAAGGATAGTGTTCATAAAAAAGAAAGAAATATAAGAAAGAACGCAGTTCCTGAGTCAAGCGCAAAAGATCAATGCCGAGTGGACGAGCGAGCGACCCTTAGCAAAGAAATACT